TTGCTTAAGTGCTCTCAGCTGCAATTTTCTGATCTCAAAAATATGGGTGATAATGTGAATTTTATGATTGTTAAACCATAAAGTTCATGTAAAGTGCTTAGAATAATGATTAGTATACAGTGAGAATTCAGATGTTTGCTAGGATAATGATAATTCTTGTCCCTATTTTATGTGATGAATATGAGTTTGGGTTTAGAGAACACCTCTTTGGAACTTAACAGAATTTAAACCCCAGAAGGTGAAATGATCTGAGGAGCAATGGATATGGTTCAGTTGATGTTCTGTTAAATACACGGGTAGATTGAGCAATAGTGGATCTCCATGACTAGAACATTTTGCAGTCTGTCATCTTGGAATTTACTTCCTCCTTTTTAGAACAATATATAACCCTCACAAACAGAAAGCCAATTTGATTATATATAGGAGGTTTGTTTTTTGTTTTGTTAATACTCACCCGAGGATATTTTTTCCATGGATTTTTTTTAGAGAATGAAAGAGAGCAGGGAGACAGAGAGAAACATCAATGTGAGAGGGCTGGGGATTGAGCCTGCCACCGAGGTACATGCCCTTGGCTGGAATCGAACTGGGGACCCTTCAGTCCGCAGGTTGATGCTCTGTCCACTGAGCCAAACCATCTAGGGCCAAATGGAGATTTTAATTATGTCCAAACACATGACATTTTAACCAATACAAAGAAACTTCTGCTTGGGCAGAAGCATGTACTAGGCATGGAAAAGCACAAGCAAATACCACCCTGCTCCTCAGATAAGGCAGAGATAGCCACTTATATGGAACTCTTAGTAATGGCCCTTTGCCCAGACAGAGACTTTGAAGCTATAATTAACACTTTAAATTTACACGAACACATCAAGCTTTAAAAATTAATTGCCCTCCATTTATGGATACTAGGACTTGTCAGTTTCCCCCCTTAATTATTTGAAATCACAGTCCTTAATTAAGAGATGTAAGAAACATTATTAAACGTCTGTCACATAACACTGGCACTCACTGAATGGCTATATATCCTGACCCCACTTGCTCAAAATAAATACAGGGAAACTTTGTTGTAACTTTCCTTTTTAATGAGCAAGAGTTAACCAGTGCCAAAGCTTTCTGGTTAGGCACTTCGTAGGCGGCAGTACTTTGAAAAAGTAAATTATTAGGTGGTATATAATAAATTCATGACAGTACTCTGAATGGTTTAGAGGTATCTAATCTCTTCCCAGCTAATTTGTTATTACTTTCAAGAGTCTTGGGAAAAGCCATGATCTTTAAAATTTTAAGTTAAAAATACTTTAAGTTTGATATATGATATTACATTTAGAAAATGTTATATTTGCATGCACAGATGTCTGTGGATGGTGGGATTATAGGAGACTTTTTCCCTGTGTTCCTAATGATACTTTCCAAATTTTATATGATGAACATAGGTGATTTTTATAATCAGAAAAGGCTTCCTTAAACAATTTTGTTTAAAAACTAATAGGTGGGACAGAGCAAGATAGTCATATGTGCAGAAGGGCAGTCTGGCTGGCGATATTCAGGCCTAAGCAGGGTGGGAAGAGTGTTCATGGGGATGAGTGTGCAGCCTGGTGTGGAAAGTCAGCTCAAATAGGATGAAGAGGGCCGTCATATGTTAGTTGGCAAAGCAGAGTGAGAAAGGCATCCACATGGGGCTAAGGCCTGCATCGGGTGGAGGGCACCCATATGGGTTGTACCTGATACAGGGTGTTGAAGCCTGAGTAGGATGAAGAATATGGCCATGGCTCTAGCCAGTTTGGCTCAGTGGATAGAGTGTCCGCCTGCAGACTAAATGATCCCAGGTTTGATTCTGGTCAAGGGCACATGCCTGGGTTGTGGTCTCCAACCCCAGTAGGGGGCGTGCAGGAGGCAGCTGATCAATGATTCTCTTTCATCTTCCAAAGGTTAAGATTATGAAACAAAGATTAAGGAACTGTTCCAGACTGAAGAAGACTAAAGAGACATGAACTAAATGAAACTTGTGATGCTAATCTGGATCCTTGTGTCTATATAGAACATTTTTGAAACTGGCTAACCTTGAATGGAGTCTGGGGGTTAGATGGCAGTAATGTATTAATATTTCCTGCCTGGCCAGTGTGGCTCAGTGGTTGAGTGTCAACCTATGAACCAGGAAGTCATGGTTCCATTCCTGGTCAGGGCACGTGCCCAGGTTGCAGGCTTAATCCCCAGTAGGGGGTATGCTGGAGGCAGCCGATCGATGATTCTCTGTCATCATTGATGTTTCTATCTCTCTCTCTTCCTCTCCCTTCCTCTCTGAAATCAATAACAATATATTTTAGAAAATATTTCTTAGTTTTGACAGCTATATTGAGGTTATGTAGGAGAATGTCCTTGTTTGTAGGAATTACATACTAAAATATTTGGAAGTGATGGGTCATCAGTTTGACAATTTACTCTCATGGTTCAGGAAAATATTACTTGTGATTATAGGTAACTTTTAAAAATTTATTTTTCAATTACAGTTTACATTCAACATTACTTTGTATTAGTTTTCATATTATAGGTAACTTTTAAGTTTAAGTGTGTTTCAAAATTTTTAAATTATATTATTTTAAACTAACGGGAAAGTTATATCTTTATTTTTATTTTATTTTTAAAAAAATATTTTTATTGATTTCAGAGAGGAGGGAAGAGGGAGAGAGAGAGAAACATCAATGATGAGAGTGAATCATTGATTGGCTGCCTCCTGCATGCCCCCCCAGGCATGTGCCCTTGACCGAAATCGAACCTTTGTCCCTTCAGTCCGCAGGCTGACCCTCTATCCACTGAGCCAAACCGGTTAGGGTGGAAAGTTATATCTGCAAATTTAAAGATCTCTTCTTACTACCTGCCCATAATACAGTTTTAAAGCATGCTTACTCAGAAAAGCATTTGACCACATAGTTTGAAATTTAAATCTGTACTCAAATTGATTGACCCCATTATAGTCCCTTAGAGTTAGGGGAGTGAGTATAGGGAAGATTTTATCATAATTGTTTCATTTACTGTTTTAAAATTTGTCTTCAGGAGCTCCAGTGGCGCAATCGGTTAGCGCGCGGTACTTATAAAATTTGTCTTCAAATTCAAGTGGTCAAAATTATTTCTCTTTTATGAGCTGCATAAGGTATATCACTGTTGCAATAAAAAATAATAAATATTTATATTTTACAAAGCAGTTTCACAACCATTACCTAATTTTGTCCTACCAGTCACATTCATTCAGCAAAGACAAAAAAGTAGTTATTATATTGATTTTGATTTTATAGTTCAGATATTGAAGACGATACCAGTTCACTACTTTTTCAGCGTAGGAGCCAGGATTCCAGTTCAAGAAAATATAACTTGAGTCCTAACTAAATCCTGCTGCCTTAAACAAGGAGTCATAACTTGCCCATGACTATGTGATCCCTCAGGGCCTTTTTTTTCATCAGCAAAATGAAAGTGTTGGACTCTGCAATCTTCAAGCTCCATTCCAGCTTCCAAATCCTAAAATTCGCCCAGCCGGGTGTGGTTCAGCGATTGAGCGATTTAGCGTTGACCCAGGAACCACGAGGTCACTGGTTTGATTCAGGTCAGGGCATAAGCCCTGGCTGCGCTCGATCCTCAGTAGGGGCGTGCAGGAGGCAGTCAATTGATGCTTCTCTCTCATCATTGACGTTTCTGTCTCTTTCTCCCTCGCTCTGAAATCAATAAAAATATACATATTTTTTAAATCCTAAAATTCAAGCCATAGATAATAGTAACTACAAAACCCATAAAATGACTCTTACAACTATAAAAGTATATAACTTATGTGGGGTAGAAAAACTATAAAACTTTTATATGTTTTTAATGACTTGACTATACAGATTTGTAAATGTCTTAATTTTCCTTTCTTTGGATCCATTAATAAATAGAATTCAGGTGTGATAGTGAACTTGTGAAAAGCAGTTTATTCAGGGAGGCTGTGACATGAACAATTCTGCTCCTCTCTCCTGAGATTTTGTTGTTGTTATTGTTCCAAGGAACCCTTTGTTCTTTTTAATGAGGGTAAAAACAGATGGTTTTTGAAAGAGACTTTTCCTCCTGTTAAATGAATAGGCCACTGCTGCTTTGTATAGCTTGAGGCAGTCTTATGGGAAACAGGCATTTCCATAAGTTTTCTTTGGGGTTGTGGGTGCATTGTTGTTACTGTGAAGTTATATTTTATTGGTCTGAATTGTGCAGCACTACGAGTGATATCTTTCTCTTTAACATAACTGCTCATGAGATCTTTTTGGGGGGAAAAAAAGGAAAGTTAAAAAGGAGAAGGAAAGACCATCACAGTGAGTATTTAAGCAGTGAGACTGATTGTTTTCAAACAAATCAAATTCATTATATGCCTAGTAATGAAGACATCTTAATAACAGAGAAAGCAGCCCCATTATCTACATGCTTCTATTAACCAATTTATTTTGTTTAGATCAGTGGACAGGAACACCATCTGTTAGATTTTTTTTTTCATCAAGCCTGTCCCCATTAAGAGTCTCCAGTTAAGTAACTTCAGCTGCCCTTCTGTTTAATTTTCATAGTAACTCAATTCAGGGGTATGGAGCGAAAAAAGCAGCTAAGAAGATATGGTAAATTGTACCATGCCCTCAGAGGATTTAATTTAGTCACCCCTTTAGCAAGAAAAATTAGTGGGAGGAGTTTATATGTGTTGGGAAAAAGACTGAGGAGAGGAAGGGGCAGAACTGATGGTGGATGAGGCTGCTTTAAGGAAATTGTTTAGTAGGGTTTTTTTAACTTTTTTTTTTTCTGATAGCTTTGTGGTGAACTTTCTGTTGCTCTAAGATCTCTTATTTTAAGAGTCATTTTCCATAATATTCTTCTTTCAGAACTATGAACTATACATTCATATTGGTATATACGTTTATATAAAATGCAATTATCATACAAATGTTACTGTAAATGTTGACACTGTGACACTGAAAGAGTTTTAAATTTGTATTCTTTCAAAGGTCCATGACTCCAGCTCAAGCTGACCTGGAATTTCTTGAGAATGCCAAAAAGTTGTCTATGTATGGTGTTGACCTTCATAAAGCAAAGGTAATAACTTTGGCCTTTATTAACATGCATGTATCAGACCTGTGTCATATAATACTTCTCACTAACCTTTATCTGGGGTTATTATTATAAAACATTCTGAAGAGAGAAGAATTTTTTTTTAATTAAATCTTTATTGTTCAGATTATTATATTGGTTCCTCTTTTTTCCCCCCATAGCTCTCCTCCAGCCAGTTCCCACCCCACCCTCCGCCCTCACTCCCCACCCACTGTCCTCATCCATAGGTGCACAATTATTGTCCAATCTCTTCCCGCACCCCCCACACCCCTTTCCCCCCCCCCCAAGAATAGTCAGTCCATTCCCTTTCTATGTCCCTGATTCTATTATAATCACCAGTTCATTCTGTTCATCAGATTATTTATTCACTTGATTTTTAGATTCACTTGTTGATAGATGTGTATTTGTTGTTCATAATTTGTATCTTTACCTTCTTCTTCTTCTTCTTCCTCTTCTTAAAGGATACCTTTCAGCATTTCATATAATACTGGTTTGGTGGTGATGAACTCCTTTAGCTTTTTCTTATCTGTGAAGCTCTTTATCTGACCTTCAATTCTGAATGATAGCTTCGCTGGATAAAGTAATCTTGGTTGTAGGTTCTTGGCATTCATCACTTTGAATATTTCTTGCCACTCCCTTCTGGCCTGCAAAGTTTCTGTTGAGAAATCAGCTGACAGTCGTATGGGTATTCCCTTGTAGGTAACTGAATTTCTTTCTCTTGCTGCTTTTAGGTTTCTCTCTTTGTCTTTTGCTCTTGGCATTTTAATTATGATGTGTCTTGGTGTGGTCCTCTTTGGATTCCTTTTGTTTGGGGTTCTCTGCGCTTCCTGGACTTGTAAGTCTATTTCTTTCACCAGGTAGGGGAAGTTTTCTGTCATTATTTCTTAAAATAGGTTTTCAATATCTTGCTCTCTCTCTTCTTCTGGCACCCCTATAATTCAGATGTTGGTACACTTGAAGCTGTCCCAGAGGCTCCTTAAACTATCTTCGTATTTTTGGATTCTTTTTTCATTTTGCTTCTCCAGTTGGGTGCTTTTTGCTTCTTCGTATTTCAAATCTTTGACTTGATTCTTGCGATCCTCTGGTCTGCTGTTGGGTATCTTTATAATATTCTTTATTTCAGTCAGTGTATGCTTAATTTCTAGTTGGTCCTTTATCACAACAGCTAGGATCTCACTAGATTTCATGAGGGTCTCATTAAGTTTATTGGCGGTTTCTAGAAAATTCTTGAAAAACTTTAAAAGTGTGGTTTTACAACATAGACTGATGAAAAGGGACAGACCCAAAGACTGAGAAACAGCGATCAGGCTATCAATCCCCAGAAGGAAAGTAGGGGAGGGCGGGGGTAAGGGGAAGAGATCAACCGAAGGACTTGTATACATGTATATAAGCCAAACCAATGGACATGGACAACGGGGGGATGGGAGCATGAGTTTGTGTGTGGGGGGGAGGTTGGGGGTTAATGGGGGGGATGAGGACACATTTGTAATACCTTAACTAATAAAAAAAAAAATCTAAAAAAAAAATAAAATAAAATAAAAGTGTGGTTTTAAACTCTATATCCAGTAGTTTGCTTTCCTCCATTTCTGTCATTTGTGTCCTGTTTCTTTGTCTCCGCATTTTTTATGCTTCGCTGTGTCGATAGAGTGGCTTTCTGTGCTAAGTGTCCTATACGGCCCAGTGGCTCAGCCTCCCCAATTACCTGAGGTAGACATTCTTGGTGCACCCCCTGTAGGCTTTGTGCACAGTCTTGTTGTAGTTAAGCCTTGATTGTTGTAGGTAACACTGGGAGGATTTGACCTCCAGACTAGTTGGCTTTGAGAATCAGCTGTGTCTACAGTGGGAGAACTTCTGTGCTGAAGACACCCTTATGGGGCAAGACTTGCTTCAGTGGGGCTTTGGTGCTCACTGAGTCTGCCCCCTGAGTGTGTCCCTTGTGGATCTGAGGAGTTGTAATTGGATGGTCCCACTCTGACCACTGGGTACACTGGCTCTTGGTGCTAATCTAGCCTCTGCCTGAGGCTACCCAGCAGAAGCCAGCTAGCTGTAAAGCAATGAAAGTTGCCCTGGGGCCTTGGGGCAGTTTGTTAAGTAATTTTCAGATTACAATAGGCCGGGCCTTTCATATGCAAAAGCCTTTGTGCAGGGCTTGGGCAGGGCGGGGTCCCAGGGGATCAACAGGACGGGCGGAGCAAGCAGTATGGCTGCTCTCAGTCCTGCCTTCAGAGGTCCTGGCAATCGCTGCGAGTGCCTCCAAGAGAAAGCTGCCCTCGAGTTCCATTGATGCCAGACAGTCCCGTTTCTCCCATATGAGTCTGGGTCCCCAGAGACTCGCCGGGAACTGGAGCTCAGAGCCTGAGACTCCCTCTCGATTGAAAACGACAACCACGCCCTCAGCCGCCAACCCTCTCCGCATGCACCTCCGCACCTTTGTATTTTACTTCTGCACTGCACCTCCTCTGAGTCTCGGTATGCTTTTCTCTTTCCATCTAGTTGTAGAATTTCCACTCAGCCAGCCTTCCTGTGGTTCTGGGTGATGTCCGTTCCATCTTTTAGTTGTATTTTTGAAGTGGTTGTTCGAGGCAGCAATCTCTGGTGTTTACCTATGCCCGCCATCTTGGTTTCTCCTCTAAAGAGAGACGAATTCTTGTTAGACTTTTAAGTCTATCAATTGAGTCAATCAAGTGTATCAACTATTGAAATGAATTGTCCCTTTGTAATTCCACCATCAGAATTCAAGTTTCACATCCAAGCCATCAAAATATATAACATCTAGAGCAAAAAAAATTGTTTTCCTAAAATACAGATATATTTGAAAATGTTGAGTGGCATCCATGTATGTTTCACAGCCAATGTCACATATATCCGAATCACTTGGAGCATTTACTAACTATGCCGATTCCCAAACTCCTCCAAGATTTACTGAATTATTTTGGAGAAAAGGCTAAATTTCTAGATTTATTAAACATCACAAATGATTCTCACCTATGCTTGAATCTGAGAACCATTGGCCTAAGGTAGTAGTTCTCAAAGTGTGATCTCTGAACCAGCATTTAGCATATTGAGGAACTTGTTAGAAATGCACACTCCAGGCCCCATCCCAGAATTACTGAATAAGAAACTTTGTGGGCAGAACCCAGCAATCTGCTTAATCAATCTGTCCAGGTGATTTTAGTGCACATGGCATGAACACTAGTGGCTCATTTGAGAACCACTGGGTTATGATATTGGGAACTTGAGCTCTAATCCTAGTTCTGTTTAATACAACCTAATAGAATGAATACTTTAAGGGCAGATGCTTGACTTCTCTCATCTTCAGCTACTGGCTGGGAGGTTGAGGAGTTTGTGAAGGAAAGGGCTCAAGGGATAATCAGAGTTTCATAGAAGAACTTAACTAGGATGCATGAAGAGAGGACTCAAAACTAGGTCCAGCCCTAGCTGGTTTGGCTCGGTGGATAGAGCGTCGGCCTGCGGACTGGAGGGTCCCAGGTTCGATTCCGGTCAAGGGCATGTACCTTGTTTGCGGGCACATCCCCAGTGGGGGGCCGGGGGTGTGTGTGTGTAGGAGGCAGCTGATCGATGTTTCTCTCTCATTGATGTTTCTAACTCTCTATATCTCTCTCCCTTCCTCTCTGTAAAAAAAATCAATAAAATATATTTAAAAAAAAAACAAAAAACTAGGTCCAATGAGAAACAAGCAAAGGAATAGGAATACTTGGCCCACAGAAGAGAAAGTTGGGAAGACATAATATCTGTCTTCGTGCATTTAAAGAATTGGTGTGTGAAATAGAGATTTTACTATGACTCCAAGATATAAAACTAGAGCCAGTAAAGTAAACTACAGGGAAATTCTGTTCAGCATAGTTTGACAAACTGTCTAACAGTCAAAGCTATTCAAAGAAGGGATGGACTACCTCATAAGATAGTGAGCTTTCTATTGTTAGAGGTACCCCATGGTAGGCAGTACAGTCACTTGAGTGATTGAACTAAGGTGACCTTTCAAGCTTCTCCCAATGTGAATATCTGATATCTGAAGTCTCTTCCTTAAGTTAGATTAATTCTATTACAATTTCATTGCATGTTAGTGGTTTTTCTAAAGATGTTGTTCCAGATTGTTTTGGGCTGGGCACTATAACTTTGAATCTATGTAATCTGTGAATCTGTAAAGTAGATGGTAGGAAGATGAGTAACATTAGAATAGCTATATTTCCAAAACTAAAATTGTTTGGTTTTGCTCTTAATTCCTGCTGGAGCCTGGCTATTGATTCAGTAATTATCTGGAATGAATAGAGGAGTCAGGTAACAAGTTCCTTTCCCAAATGTTGTAAAGCAAATTGTTTCTTCAGAATGTATAATTGAGAGATATTGTTGTACCTACAGGCTTTAAGAGCTTAAGAGGACATCTTCTGGGAAATTCTCAGTTACGTAGTCGTTGAATTGGAGTCATATAATTTCTGCTTCTCGATTGTGCTTGCACGTACACATGTAGGCACTAATATGTTTTTCTATACCCAATTGAGGAAAAGAAGTAGTCAAGAAACCTTTAACTCTAGGTTTTGATTACTTATCTAAATAAGTAATCATCTGTAGAAATTAACTCAGGTGAAATTTAGTTTCCTTGAGTTACAGACATATAGATGATTAACATCTAATTTTTAAATTTTTCTCTAAGAAAAGAGGCATGTAAATGTGACTATGTTTTATCTGACTATTCTTTCTTGACTTGGGGATAATATTTATAATTTAATATACTTAACATAATAATTATAAGAACCTACAATTCTCTCACATTAAATTTATATAGTAATAAAGTTAACTCCTTATCATGATTTTTGAAAGGATGACCACTTTATCATAAAAAAAAAAAAAGCCTGGCTAGTGTTGCTCAGTGGTTGAGTGTTGACTTATGAACCAGGAGGTCGCAGTTCAATTCCCGGTGAGGGCACATGCCTGGTTTGCAGCTTCAGTCTCCAATAGGGGGGCTGCAGGAGGCAGCCAATCAATGATTCTCTCTACCTTGATGTCTCTCTCTCTCTCTCTCTCCCTTCCTCTCTGAAATCAATAAATATATGTTTTAAAAAAATAATTGTTGAAAGTGTTTATTGGTATACTAGAGGCCCAGTGCATGGATTTGTGTACTGGTGGGGTCCCTCGTCCTGGCCTGCGCCCTCTTGCAATCCCAGACCCCCTCGGGGGATGCCGGAGAACCAGTTTTGGCCTGATCCCTGCTGTGCATTTGTGCACTGGGCCTCTAGTATGCATATAAGATCTTTGGTTAATCTCTTTCTACCCCCTCTTTCCTCAGATTCATCAGTCTGTTCCACGTTTCTATGCCTGTGGTTTCTGCTCCTGTGTTTAGCCTCTGCCCCCTGGTGGTCAGTGCACGTCATAGCTACCAGTTGGCTGGTCACTTAGGCTTTTATATATATAGACTAGAGGCCCAGTGCATGGGGTGGGTGGGGGTGGGGAGGGCCCTCAGCCCAGCCTGCACCCTCTCCAATCCGGGACCCCTCGGGGGATATCCAACTGCCGGTTTAGGCCCTACTGGGGATGTGCCCGCAACCAAGGTACATGCCCTTGACCGGAATCGAACCTGGGACCCTTCAGTCTGCAGGCCGACGCTCTATCCACTGAGCCAAACCCATCAGGGCATCTATGTAACTGTTTTAATGGTCACATTATATTTCACCAAAGAATGGGCAATAATTTAACCCTGGAGGTTGGGTACTTAGGTTATATCCAATTTTTCACTCTTACAACATTCTGAATATTTTCATGTATAAAGCATTTTCTGTGATTTGAATTATTTTCTTGGAACAAATTACAGAAATAGAATTACTGTGTCTGATTTGGACATTTTAAAGATATTTGTGATAGGTAATAACATTGTGGGGGTTTTTTAATGTGGCAGAGTAATGACATTTTTACATAGACCGAATAGTCCCATGGATTATTATGTTAGGTTAAGCTTTATTATTCATGGTATGCTTTGTAACTCTTTTTGGTTGTTGATATCTTCAGATTCTCTAGTAATAGTCAGCAGTGTGTTAAGCACTTTGCTCAAGACTGAAATGCTAATGCTTCTCTTTTTCAGGACTTGGAGGGAGTGGACATCATCCTAGGTGTCTGCTCTAGTGGCCTTCTGGTTTACAAAGATAAGCTGAGAATTAACCGCTTTCCTTGGCCCAAAGTGCTGAAGATTTCTTATAAACGTAGCAGCTTTTTTATCAAGATTCGGCCTGGAGAGGTATAGAATTTGTGTTTCTTTTCCCCCACCCCCGAATCAAACACAGACCATGTCTACAATATCTCGTCGCTTCCTTTTTTTCTTGTTATGTCATCTAAGAGGTCTCTCTATAGTATGCAGGAGCTGATATTCTGTTTTCTCAATCAGTCCTGTAATGCTGCTTTTCCTCCTTGCTACTGGTTTTCTGGGCTTTTCTCTTTATGTAAGTAAATATACCATGGCCAAAAGTGAAACTTGCATTGATAAACTTGTTCCTTGTTTACTCCAGGTAAAATCTTCATGGATAATGGTTTTAAATTGAGTAGCATGAGATTTTTATTTATTTATTTATTTATTTATTTAATATATTTTATTGATTTTTTTACAGAGAGGAAGGGAGAGAGATAGAGAGCTAGAAACATTGATGGTAGAGAAACATCGATCAGCCGCCTCCTGCACGCCCTCCACTGGGGATGTGCCCGCAACCCTGGTACATGCCCTTGACCGGAATCGAACCTGGGACCTCTCAGTCCGCAGGCCGACGCTCTATCCACTGAGCCAAACCGGTTTTGGCAGCATGAGATTTTTAAATTGAGGAGTTTAAGTTACTCATGTTTTGTACCACCAATCTCTTACTCATTTAATTAAAATGTGTTTATATGCGTAGCTTCTAGTAGTTACTGGGAATATATTCCAGGCTCAAGTTCTAGATTTTTAATAGAGTTGTTTAACTTTGTGTCAGATAATTCAATTATTAGTTGGTGGGCAAGTTTCAGGATATATTAATGCTGACCAAATTTAACTTTTATATTAAATAGTCATTATGTATAGAGGAAAATTGTTTAAGTAGGAATTAAATTTTTTTAAAAGTTCTACCTCTTACTCTGCCAACTACTAAGTAAAAGACCCTGGAGAAATCTAAGACTCAGCTTCTTTATCATTCAAGGTGGAAAATACCTTCTCTGTCAGGGTTGATTTGAAGACCAAATGAGAAGACAGCTGCAAAAAGTCTAAGCTGGAAAACATTATATTAATTTAGAGGGTTTTTGTGTGTGTATATCACCATCTGCTGGTGGAAATGGCTCATTATTTGAGCATGGAAATACTGGATGTTCAGCCTTAAAAATCTCATAAGAATGATCATTGAAGCATTTATTTAGTACCATAATTATTTACCTTGTGCCTTTCACAGAACAATCTCTGTCTTCTGTCAAAGAGTTTCAAACCAAGAGTCATTCAGTCAACAGATATTTATTGAGGGCATTCTTTGTGCCATGCACTACTCTAGTGGGTAGAGACAGTGAATAAAAGTCCATTTATTTTTGTGGGAAGACGCACGCGCGCACACGCGCGCGCACACACACACACACACACACACACACATTTTAATAAATTTGATAATAGAAGTTTTTGGTTTCTTTAAATGTCAATTATATAATATATACTAAAATTGCAGAATTCTTACTTTAAGAACACAACCAGGAACAACAGTAGGATTTCAATAAGTGTAGTATTATGACTATAGTAGATGATTTGGAAGTAGCATGGTTTAGTGGAAACCAAGAAATTCTAGTTATGCCACTTTATAACTGTGAAACTGAGAAGTAACTTGTCTGACCTTAGTTTTTTCATGTGTAATACTATCTAGTTATAGCATATTGGCAATAATAGGCGCTAGAAATAAATGTCAGTTTCCTTTCCATCTTAAAAAGTATGCTTAAAGCAGACTAGCAGGATATGGTTTGCTTCAGTCAAAGAGGTATCAAGATAAATTAATAATCAATTAAAGTAAAAGAGAGAAGGCAATTACTAATTCAAGAATTGGTTAGAGCCAAAATCTTTCATCTTTAAAAAAAATTTTTTGTAATCCTCACCCGAGGATATTTTTCCATTGATTTTAGAGAGAGTGGAAGAGAGAGGGAAAGACAGAAATATTGATGTGAGATAAACACATCAATTGGTTGCCTCCTGCATGAGCCTGAACAGGGCCAGGGCTGAGGATGAGCCTGCAGCCTTGCAACCGAGGTAGGTGACCTTGACCGGAATCAAACCTGGGATCCTTCAGTCCACAGGCCGATGCTCTATCCACTGAGCCAAACCGGCAAAATGTTTCATCTTTAGCTCCTATTACTAAAAAAACAATAAATAAGTAAAATTGCATAATAATATTGATTGATTGGAGGAATCATCTACTATCTCATTCCCTGAGCATTAAGTAGTCTAGTATCCCAAGTGCAAATGATGACTAAGAAAGAGCCCTGTCTGGACAATCAAAAGGTAACTTAATGATGACCCAGAAAAATGTACTCTGCATGTGTGTGTTTCTGAGCGAAATAAGATGCATACATAATATAAGATGCATTTCTTGGCTTCCTTGTTGTGGAAAAAGCCACCTCGGTGAGTAAATTTCTTTTTGTAAGTAGGAAAATATTTTAAATATTTTATGCCTTTAGGGATGTTCTTTTTATTCTTTTTTTTATTGCCTGTTTTTAATATATTTTATTGATTTTTTACAGAGAAGAAGGGAGAGGGATATAGAGTTAGAAACATCGATGAGAGAGATTGATCAGTTGCCTCCTGCACGCTCCCCAGTGGGGATGTGCCCTCAACCAAGATACATGCCCTTGACCGGAATCGAACCTGGGACCCTTCAGTCCGCAGGCTGATGCTCTATCCACTGAGCCAAACCGGTTCGGCATCTTTTTATTCTTGATGACCTTTTCTGTAGTACCATATTTCTCTGGTCCTTATCACTATAGTCAAATAATCCTTTATGTTCAATGTTTATTTGTGTTTTTATAGCAAGAACAGTATGAAAGTACCATCGGATTCAAACTTCCCAGTTACCGAGCAGCTAAGAAATTATGGAAAGTCTGTGTAGAGCATCACACATTTTTCAGGTATTGTTCTCACTTCAGTATTTTTCAAGGATCACTTGTTTATGCAAGTTTCTGTTTTAAGTCTGCTATTAAAATTCTCTTCTTTGAATGGCTGACATTTTTTTATTTAGCTCAGGTAAGACCATCTTAAGCAAGACAGAATTAGTCCAGTTCTCCTTTGGATTGAAAACATGCCTCAGCATTCCCAGAGCACCTTTCTGTGTGTGGTAGGAGGAGGAGAGAAGTGAGGATAGGAACCTGTGTTTCCTGGGGGCTCTGTGATTGCTCTAACTGGAGTTGCAATCAGTCCTATCAGGAGGAGGCACCCTGACCATCTCCACATGCAATTTCTCTAAGTACTGCCTAGCTACTTTCTGTGGGGCTTTTTAACTGAAAGATGAAAGGTATGAAGCTGATCATTATCTTGGCTCTAATCAACCCAGAAAGGGAGCACAGAGAACCATCTTTGAAGCTCAATTGTGTCAGAGGATCAGAAGAAAGTTTTCTTTCCTCTGGTTTTCAAGAGGCCATATCATTAACCCCCCGTCTTCATTTACCAAGCATTTTCTCAGTGTAGGTAGTGTACTAGGCACTGAGACTATATATACTACAAGATAGTTCTATTCCCTGTCCTGATAGAACATACAGTCTAGCAGAGAACACAGACCTTAGATTACTGTATTGAAAGGAGAGTCAGCTTGTTATTGTCAGCTTGCCTTTTTAAGAAAAGTTCTTTATTATGGAAAATTGCATACATAACAACAGTAAAGAGACTAGTACAGTAAAGAGACTAGTATAATGCATATCACCCAGCTTCCATAATTATCATCCCAAGACCAGTCTTGTTTTATCTATTATGCCACCCAATTCTTCCCACTACTTCCTAGATTATTTTGAAGCAAATCTAAGACCTCATGTCACATCATTCATAAATAAACTTGACTCTCAAATGGCTCTCAAGAGAGAGAATCATGATATATTTTCCTTCTAGTTGTATTTTTCATTTCATACCTAATATTACAGCACAGTGGACAGGAAGAAAAACCAGGGAAAATAACATTTAAATTCTCACTTAAAAATAAAACATGAGGATACATTTTATACCCAATTAAAGAATCTTAATCATTGACTTTAAGATTTTTGTTTATGCTTTCATCATCCTCTTCTTTAAAATCAAACCAATAGAATAGAGTTTTTAAAAAGGGTAAGGAAAAGTAAAAAAAAAAAGTTATTTTGAGTGTTTAATATCTATGCTATAGATTTCAGCTACAACCAGTGTATTTACTTGTAGGATAGCATATTTAAATCCATTGCATCAAAATAAGAAGCTATATTAACATGTAATGCTTCATTACATAAAAGAAAGTCAGTATTTGCTGAATTAAAATAAACGATCCCCAAGGAAAAAATACTTTTTTTTATAGTATTTGATGTAATAATTTATGTATTTATTCAGCAAACATTTATTGAGTGCCAAATTCATGCCAGGCACTATGCCAGAAGTGAAAACATAAGGATGAATAAGTGGAGACCAGCACATAAATTGTTTCAATTCATTGTAGTAAATGCTGTGACTAAAGAGAGCACAGGGTACTGCATAAGAAGATGGGGTTCCTAACTGAGTTGAAAATACACTAAATAACCTATTAAATAGGTTACCAAGGATTAATTGAGTTTGGAGTGCATTTGAGAAAATTATTCTAGTAGAGTGGAAAAAGAGCTCTGATTTATAATAGTTAAGATTTGGAAACAGCCTAAGTGCCCCATCAGCAGAAGAGTAGATTAGAAAACTGTGGTATATCTACACAATGGAATACTACGCTGCTGTATGAAAGAAGGAATTTTTACCATTTGTAACAGTGCTGGGGTCCAACCCCAGCAGGTCCAGGGATCCCCAAAGGTGTGGACGGAGTCGGCGAAGAAGGAATGACACGGAGACAGCGTTCAGTTGATCAGCAGCCTAGCCAGGATCTCCAGCCAGGATCTCCAGCCAAGTTCTGGTCTGGATCTCCAGAGAGGTTCTGGTTAGGATCTCCAGCGAAGTTCTGCCTGGGATCTCCAGCCAGGTTCTGTGTCCATGTTCTCTTGCTAGGTTCTCCAGCCAGGTTCAGTTACCAGGTTCTAATTAGGTTCTCTTGCCAATTTCTGTAGTCAGGTTCAGTGCAGGATCTTTTGCCATGTTCTCTCCAGCGAAGTTCTTCTGTCTGTGTAGGTTCCTTCTTCTGAGTTCTGTCTTCTTCGTTCTGTGTTCTGAGTTCTGTCTTCTTCGTTCTGTGTTCTGAGTTCTGGCTCTTGCTGTCTTGTTGTATCTGTATTTATACCAGTTGATTCAATCCTATCAATCTCTATTACAAAGGTTAGGGCGTTTCTTATCTTCATTCCAGGGAGTAAAGATTATGTAGCTTAAGCACAATTGTTCGTAGTTAAAGTGATTAATTACCCGCCTGGCACTTAGTTAAGAGGTTTTATTCCCTCCCTAACTTCAGGGGAAAATCCCTACCTGGGGAAACAACCTTTCTCAGAGAGGAGACCTTGGTTAAAACACATAGTGCCAAGAAGGTGAGCAAACATATTAAGAACAATATGCCATATATGCCAGGTCCCTTGAAACAGCAAGGATGGACCGGCTCCCGGCACAACAGCATGGATGGAACTGAAGAGTATTATGCTAAGCAAAATTAGCCAGTCGTAGAAAGATAAATAATAAATGATCTTACTCATTTGTGGAATATAATGAACAACATAAACTGATGAACAAAAACAGAACCAGAGTCATAGAAGCATCGAATAGACTGTCCAACCTATGAGAGAAGGTGGAGGGGTGAGGGGGTAAGAGATCAACTAAAGGACTTGTACGCATGCATATGAGCATAACCAATGGGCACAGATGGGGGGAGGGTCGGGGGGGATTTGCTGAGGTTGGGGGCAGCTGGGGAGAGGTCAGTGGGGGAGAAAGGAGACTTATGTAATACATTAAGCAATAAAAAAGTTAAATTAAAAAAAAAAAAAAAAAAAGGAGGAGAACCAAGATGGCGGCATAGGTTAATGCCGGAGTTTGCTGCTTTGAACAACTACTTCAAAAGTGAAACCAAAAAACGGAAGGGACATCACCCAGAACCACAGGAACGCTGGCTGAGTGGAAGTCCTACAACTAGGAGGAAAGAGAAACGCATACGGACACTCAGAGGAGGCACAGTGCTGAAGTCAAATTCTGAGGTGCGGAGTGCGCGGAATGGGCTGGCGGCGGAGGGCGTGGTTGTCGTTTTCAATCGGGAGGGAGTCGCAGACTCTGAGCTCCAGATCCGGGCGAGTCTTTAGGGACCCAGACTCAAACTGGAGCAGCGGGACTGTCTGGCTTCGGTCAGAGCGAGTGCAGCTTTCTCTCCGAGCTTTGCAGCGGGTGCTGGGACTCAGAGAGGCAGAGCCCCTGGGGACAGGACTGAGAGCCGCCATAACTGCTCTCTCCGGCCCACCCTGTTGATCCTGTGCGACCCGCCCCGCCCAAGCCCTGCACACAGGCATTTGCCGGATAGCCTCAGGCAAAGGCTAGATTAGCACCTCCCTAGAGGACAGAAGTTCTCTCACTGCTGACACAGCTGATTCTCATAGCCACTTGGCCTGGAGGTCAAACCCTCCCTGGAATTAGCTACAACAATCAAGATTTAACTATAAGACTGCGAACAAAGACCACTAGGGGGTACACCAAGGAAGCATAAAAAATGCGGAGACAAAGAAACAGGACAAAATTGTCAATGGAAGATATAGAGTTCAGAACCACACTTTTAAGGTCTCTCAAGAACTGTTTAGAAGCCGCCGATAAACTTAATGAGATCTACAAGAAAACTAATAAGACCCTCGATCTTATATTGGGGAACCAACTAGAAATTAAGCATACACGGACTGAAATAACGAATATTATACAGACTCCCGACAGCAGACCAGAGGAGCGCAAGAATCAAGTCAATGATTTGAAATGCGAGGAAGCAAAAAACACCGAACCGGAAAAGCAAAATGAAAAAAGAATCCAAAAATGCGAGGATAGTGTAAGGAGCCTCTGGGACAGCTTCAAGCGTACCAACATCAGAATTATAGGGGTGCCAGAAGATGAGAGAGAGCAAGATATTGAAAACCTATTTGAAGAAATAATGACAGAAAACTTCCCCCACCTGGTGAAAGAAATGGACTTACAGGTCCAAGAAGTGCGGAGAACCCCAAACAAAAGGAATCCAAAGAGGACCACACCAAGACACATCATAATTAAAATGCCAAGAGCAAAAGATAAAGAGAGAATCTTAAAAACAGCAAGAGAAAGAAACTCAGTTACCTACAAGGGAATACCCATACGACTGTCAGCTGATTTCTCAACAGAAACTTTGCAGGCCAAAAGGGAGTGGCAAGAAATATTCAAAGTGATGAATACCAAGAACCTACAACCAAGATTACTTTATCCAGCAAAGCTATCATTCAGAATTGAAGGTCAGATAAAGAGCTTCACAGATAAGGAAAAGCTAAAGGAGTTCATCACCACCAAACCAGGATTATATGAAATGCTGAAAGGTATCCTTTAAGAAGAGGAAGAGGAAGAAAAAGGTAAAGATACAAATTATGAACAACAAATATGCATCTATCAACAAGTGAATCTAAGAATCAAGTGAATAAATAATCTGATGAACAGAATGAACTGTTGATTATAATAGAATCAGGGACATAGAAAGGGAATGGACTGACTATTCCTGCGGGGGAAAGGGGTGTGGGAGATGCGGGAAGAGACTGGACAAAAATCGTGCACCTATGGATGAGGACAGTGGGTGGGGAGTGAGGGCGGAGGGTGGGGCGGGAACTGGGAGGAGGGGAGTTATGGGGGGAAAAAAAAAGAGGAACAAATGTAATAATCTGAACAATAAAGATTTAATTTAAAAAAAAAAAAAAAAAAAAAGGAAAGAAAAAGAGCTCTGTTACTGCCCAACCTCTTTACAGCTATGTGACCTTAAGCAAGTAACTTCTTTTTTGAGATTCACTTTCTTCTATCAGTAAAATGATAATATTACGAGGATATAGTGAAAATATTACAGTGCTATAAAAGGATTTTGAAAACCATAAGGCCCTGTCTACAGAGATATAATAATATAAGATGATATTAATATAAGTAAATTATACATGTTGCTTAGAGAAATGACATAGAATTAAAATAGTGATTGCTTGCCGAAACCGGTTTGGCTCAGTGGATAGAGCGTCGGCCTGCGGACTGAAAGGTCCCAGGTTCGATTCCGGTCAAGGGCATGTACCTGGGTTGCAGGCATATCCCCAGTAGGAGATGTGCAGGAGGCAGTTGATCGATGTTTCTCTCTCATCGATGTTTCTAACTCTCTATCTCTCTCCCTTCCTCTCTGTAAAAAATCAATAAAATATATTTTTAAAAAATAAAAATAAAAAATAATGATTGCTTGATTTAAAATATGTCTTATAGAGAAGAGAGCAGAGTGGTGCAGCACAAGCGTGCTGGGCCCATAAAATATGTCTTAGTAACTATAAGGAAACTGAAAATTTTGAAACTTTTAAAATCTAGATTTTTGTCTTTAATCTCACAGTCTCAGTAGAGTGAGATTAAATATATTATATGATCATTATGGTTTTTTCCCCCCAGACTGACATCTACAGACACCATTCCTAAAAGCAAATTTCTTGCACTGGGATCCAAATTTCGATACAGTGGCCGAACTCAAGCTCAAACCAGACAAGCTAGTGCTCTGATTGACAGGCCAGCCCCACACTTCGAGCGTACAGCAAGCAAACGGGCATCCCGGAGCCTTGATGGAGGTTTGTATTGAATTTTGGTGAGATATTAAGCATAATAGCATAAAAGATAACTCTTTAGGGAGAGATAAAGGAAGTACAGTTATCTATAAGAGAACCAAATTAAAGAATGTCATTGGTAAAATGAAATGGATCTCACTAATTATCTAAGTCAGTGGAATCATCTTAAGCAAAGAAAAACTGAGGTTCAGAGAGAGTAGTAACTAGACCAAAGTTCCACTGATAGGTAGTAGGAGGTTGAATACGACTAGAATTAGAATTCAGAACCTCTACTGCAGAGTGGAACTTAATGTAGTATATTGAACTAAAGCCTTCTTGAATGTTTTTGTTTGATTCTCACCCAAAGATAGGTTTCTGTTGGTTTTTTCTCTTTTTAGAGAGAGGAAGAGAGAGAGAGATATCAATTGGTTGTCTCCTGTATGCATCCCGTCTAGGGATTGAACCTACAACCTAGGTATGTGCTCTGACCGGGAATGAAACCCACAACCTTTCGGTGTATAGGATAGTGCTCCAACTCACTGAACCACCAGGCCAGGGCCCTCTTGAATGTTTTTAAATAGTTTTTTTTTTTTTTCAAGTAGAAAAGAGGAAAAGGGTCTGCCTCACTAGAGCAATTAGTTATTTTAGATCATTTGTCATGTGGCAATTATATACAGAAAAAGCAGTCCTATTATTGGAATCTCCAAATTTTGTTTAAAATAGGGAGAAAATAAATAAGTTTCGTGATTGTGTATTCTAACCGAAGATCTGTCTGAATTTTTCTCAGTATCAAGGATTTGAGAGCATTACTGAAATGAAGTAACAAGCCATATTCAGTTCTTTATGCCACTAAGAAAAGAAAAGGTGGCTAAAAGTTCAGAAGTCAGTAACCAAAGTAGAGTATTGATATATCTGGTGCTCAGAGCATCTTCTTCGCTAGCTGAAGAAGTAAAACTGGCTCAGATCCCAGTGTATATAACCAAGTGGTAAGTCACAAGGATAGCTAATAAAGATGACAAGAATCTTTCAACTTATATTTTTGTTGCCCTTTTTGCTTTTCAAGCCGTTTCCATATATTCCTACTTAGTAACAAGACACATTTAGGAATTCTTGTTTTGCTCATGAGGAAACTAGGGCACACAAAAAGTTATATAACTTGCAAGTGTCACACAACCATGAAGTTAATCCATTCTTCAGTTCTTGCCAGGGGAATACAATCCTATCATTTTTTGAAGCTTTAAACAAATCCCCAAGCCTGACTCTTAGATGTCTCATCTGTCTGTGGTGGACCTGGGCAATAGTCATTTTTAAGATCCACAGCTAATTCATGTGGGGTCCCTCTGGTAATGGAACCACTGATCCATTGCATACCTATTGTGCCTGTACTATACTAGCAGAAGCTGTGCTGGTAAGTTACAGAGCCAGAACTGGAAGTTAAGTCTCCTTTTACTCAACATGAGGGTTTTGAGTTTTACTCTTTATTGCTATAATGTATAAATGTCTAAGTTTCTGTTGTCAGAGGGGAGCAATATAATACTGGAATTAATGGGTTCATAAGATTATCACAACCAGCACTCCAGAAATGGGAAATAATTGAATTTTTCAGGTTAAATGTTCTCTACAGACGCATCAAGGTCTTGTATTAGTTAACAAAAGAATTCATTAAACTGAAGAGCCTAAGCACCTTAAAAGTATTCACTACCTGCAACACTGTGAATATACTAAAAACATTGAATTATGCACACTCTCTGGGTGAATTGTATGGTGTGTGAATTATATCTCAATGACCACAGCCACTGCCATGATTCTCTGTTCTGATCCATAGTTTGTAGTAGTCTGATTGAGAAGAGGAAAGAAAGTTCTCTCCAGGGCTCCCAGGTTATATTTTTCACTTGAATTGCATATCCATGAATACATAACTAATTTTTGCTCCACATGCTCTTGAAATATTAACCCATAACAAAAGAAATACAAAGACTTAGGTATGACATTAAAAGTTATTAATAGTTAGGGTTTGTAAAGTATTTTTATAGCCATTGAACATGCCTTCCCTGGTATTCTGTGGAGTTAATATCTTCCACATTTTACTAGTGATGCAACTTTCTGCCTCTGTTTCAGCTGCCAGTTTCCACACTTTTACCTACTTTTCCACATGCAGTATAGATTGCCAGGGCTAGGAATGCTGGAGACATACATCATTTGGCTCTGCAATATTAGTATTGTATTAAAACCAAACGCAAGTGGCAAAATAACACATGGTGAAAGCATGGGCTATGTTTCTGCAATGCCAGTCAGAATTGAATTAATTCTTTGAGAGGAGGTGTGAATACACATGTATAATGATACTTCAACACAACTGTGAGCAAAATATTTTGTCACATTCCCCTGTGTTGTTAGAATTGGTCTACCATCTGCCATTCTTGCATTGACTGGCTTAGAGCACCCATGAGAAGCAGGGACTTGCAACAGGGCAGAGTTTTCATTGAAAGATAAAGTAGGTTATTTTATTTCTGCTGTTATACCTATGTGTCCTCTGAGGAATGATTTCTTTCACTGGAGATCAATATAGGGTTATGAGCATTTCTTTCTTGGTGTTGTGTATATGAAGTAGTTGTGAATTTCATCTTTTTTATCCGTTCTGATTCATGGAATTTTTTTGTTTTACCTAATCCTTACTGTTTATAAGTCTAAATTTATCAGAAGTTAAATTCAGTCTACTCCGTTTAAGGAGGCAAAAACATGTGTTATACAAATTGTAAAGGTTTTCATGCAAAATAATTAAAATTTAAAAGTCTCAGTACATGCAAGGATGAATTGTTATCAGAAATATTAAATCATGTACAAACACACTGCAATCCTAGACACTGTTGGGTGAGATTTTACTACAAAGTGTATAGATGTTTTCTTTTAGTCCCTGGAAGAAGGAAGATAAAAATCATAAGAGTGTGAATGATTGCTTTGAAATAAGTGATCTGAAACTTAGCTGTCAAATAGTCGAAACCAAAACTCTGAAGAGATCAAGATTTTGTCATAAACCTAAATTGAATATTCTCTCTAAAAGGTTAGTTAACCTCAGCAACCTTAGCCTGTACACTCTGTATGCCAGTACCTCCTTCCACTTCTCTTCCCAGTTGTAACAACCAAAAATGTCTCCAGACAGTGCCATGTGTTCTGTGGGAGGCATAAATTACTCGTGGTTGAGAGCTGCTGGCTTAAATATATTCGAGAATAGGAGTTATAATACAAATTGATAAGACTCAAGGAGTTGGTGGGACAGAACCTAAAAGGTTAGAGGTATTTCTGGTGTGTTTTTTTTTCCAAGGACTAACAGCCAAACATTTTGAATTCATATTATTTTAATCACATGACTTATTAAAAAGGAAAGTGTTGTGTTCAAAGATTTACCCTTAAACATGCATCAAAAGCATACTGTCTTAAAAGATCCATTTACCGCCCTAACTGGTTTGGCTCAGTGGATAGAGCGTCGGCCTGCGGACTCAAGGGTCCCAGGTTCGATTCCGGTCAAGGGCATGTACCTTGGTTGCAGGCACGTCCCCAGTGTAGGGTGTGCTGGAGGCAACTGATCGATGTTTCTAATTCTCTATCCCTCTCCCTTCCTCTGTGAAAAAAAAAGCCTCAATAAAATATATTTTTTTAAAAAAGATCCATTTACCAAGTTATTTTGTAATCATTCTGAGGAGGCTTCACAGAAGAAATCAAGCTTATTCCTTTTCCCTAGAATATACTTTTAGGTTCCTGAAATTACCCATAAGTGAATAGATCTTTATTTGTTTTTTAAAAAAATTATTTTTGTTGATTTCAGATAGGAAAAGGGAAGGAGAGAAACATCAATGATGAAAGAGAATTATTGATTGGCTGCCTCCTGCGCATGCCCCCTACTGGGGATTGAGCTTGCAACCTGGGCATGTGCCCCCACTGGGAATCCAACTGTGACCTCCTGGTTCATAGATCAATGCTCAACCACTGAGCCACACCAACTGGGCATAGATCTTTATTTCAAAGAGGCTTCATGGAAGAAATAAGACTTGATTAAACCCCTTCTTTTTCTACATAGACTGCATTACAGGTTCTTGAAACAGATTACTAGGTTACACAATCTTGGTAACTTTTTAATAAAATGAGTTTTCAATTTCTTTTCTTATTTTGATGTCAGCACCTCCACCCCTGACTCCTGTTAATGGAACATGATCACCTGCACATTTTAGTTTTTTTCTTATTGCCATCAATTACCTGGCTGAGCAGTACTAATGATTTATTTTTGTACCTTCTGTGTGATAGTCACTGGACGCTGTAGCATTCATATGGTCACCTGGTGACTTCGAAGTGGTACAGTGACTCTTGCCTTCACTTATTCTCTTTTCCTTTTCTCACATAACAGCGGCTGTCGATTCAACAGACCGAAGTCCTCGGCCCACTTCTGCACCGGCCATTGCTCAGAGTCAGGACACAGAAGGCAGTGTGCCAGGTGCACCTGCCAAAAAAACAGTGGTTTCTAAAGCACAGAAGGAAACAGTGAAGGACGAAGTGAAAAAGGAAGAAGTGCCACCTGAGCAAGCTGAGCCAGAGCCCACAGAAGTGTGGAAGGTATGTCGTAAGTCCACGTATCTGGCAAATTAACTTTCCCATTTAGAGGTGTTAACTGCTTGGCCAGGAAGGTTTTCAAAGCATTAATTCCTATAGAATCCTTACAAAGTTATTTCTCCCTTACTCTTTCTTAAAGAAAGTATCTCCCATGAACCTGTAAAATGTTTTCATAGAATGTTTTCAATGTCATGAAGACTGTGAGCTATTCAGAAGTTTTCACATGACCCAACCTTAACTCAGCTTTTATCTAAAAAAGAAATAATAATAAGTCTATAAAACACGGCAGCACTGTGATCATCTGCTTTTAAAAATGTTTTACTCATCCAGAAGGAATATCTGTATTCCTTTTTAAGAGTATGCCATGCTAGTGTGATAAAAATACAATTTGTTTTCCCTAAGTTGGATATGTGTGTAACATAGCCAGAGATTATCCAGGTATTACATAAATTGCATCTATGTGGTTGTTGCTTTCCAAAAAGAGGAAGATCCAGTATGTGGGAGAGGTTATGCTACTGACTTACTGATAGTTCTGAGTTGATTGTACCCTTAGTCACCGAACCGTATTGAAAAATTACTAATTTAATTAGCAGATTTTCCAGGAGTAACAGTAACTGGACTGATCTTTTATGTGTTGATAAGTGGTGAGGGAGTTGAGGTGCTAGTTCAGATTTATTGAAGTAAATACAAATCTCTCTTTTGACAACAGAAATTAATCGACTCAGTCTTTATAAGAAAAATGATGTCTTTATATGTCTGTTTAGAAATTTAAAACCATATAAGACCTTGTGCTCTCACCTTGGCAGATGGATTAATTTTGTTCTTTTGGAGTCAGTTCAACATCTAGTTTATCTGTAGAGCAGAGGGCAAGTTGGCTCTGTGTTGATGGTATTAAAAAGAAACTGTGCAATACAACGTGCAGTTTTCACTGTCCTTTGAGATCAACTTGAGTCCAGAGAGAAAACAAAAAACATTTGATTGAATGATGGGTGTTTGCATTTTTGTACCAGCCAAATGTGCATGACACCAGCCATCCAGTTCAATGTCAACAGTGCCTTTTTCATGTTAGACTACCCAGTTTAAAGTTACGATCTCTTACCTGGCACTTCTGACTGTTATACTAACTGGAAAGTGTTGGATTACTGGAGTTGACAAGGGAATCTTTTTGAATGACAAAAGATTCCTTTGCCTATAAGCAGACACAAGTGTCTTCAAGAAAGGTTCCCTTTGCTCTTGGGACCTCAGCAGAGTGGAGAGATCGCTTTCTGGTATATGGTCCCCATTTAAGTGCCTGAAGGGGGTCTTCCTGCCAATTAATTCTGTATAATATTGTTTTGAGATACTTGTGTTGAGATCAGACTGAAAACCACCTGTGATGACCACCTATTCCTATGATACAGTACAGAATTAAGGGTGACTCTGAGTTGATTTTATTTGTAGCAGTTAAATAATTATGGAATTTACTTGAGTCATATTTTTTACTTGAGCTATATTTTTATATAAAGCAATAGCAGTAATAAAGTAGTCTTGTAGCTGTGTAAATTTCACTATCTAACACTAATTTAGTGCCAGATAGAGAGAGCTTTTTGGCATCTTGAGTCATTTGACAAGACCTGTTTTGCAGGTGTGTACATCTTGTCACTTAAGGTTCTCTGTAGGGGGCATACACAGAACTACTGCTGCTACTTGGCCTCCATTCTTAGACCAAAGTAGAGGCTCTCAATTTCTGCTGTTGATTGCTAGGAACCCAAAGCAAAAATATCATTATTCCTTTACACAAGTAATTTAAGCTTTACAAAATAATTAAAAACTACCATTTGCTAAGCATTCACAAGTCTATGAAAATATCATTTCCACTTTATCAATAAAAAATTTAAACTAACTTAAACTCAGAGAGGTGAAATAACTTAGTTTATTTAATCACATAACCAGTATACTGGGATTCAGAATAGAACTGACCTAAATTGTTAATTACCCTTGGTAGTTAAAAGTGCTCTTATGGATGTGTTTCTGATTTGACCTGTCACAAGATTTGGTGTTATCTTATGTTCTTCACAGTCAGTCCTAGAGAAAATAGCACAGTGACATTGTACTTTGAAGTTATGCTGCCAAGTGTGTTAAAAATAAACCCACTGATCGATTTGGTTCTTTAGAGAACTTGATGCAAAGCATCTGAGTTGACCCTTAATAAAAACAGTTTTCTAATTTTGAGATATCCAGTGCATTAGGCATTGCTCACTTTATTATGCTTTCTCTTAATAGTCTGTCTAGTGTTTGTTTATTTATACTTACTCCATTTGGGGTATATGAAATGACTATTACTAAAGGTATTTCAAAGCTAGGCAAGAGGCCTTAGTTATTCTCTTCTTAGTATTAAGGATGAATCTTACCCATTCACCAAACAGATGGGCTCCAGCTGCCTAGAGAGGAGATTATAGAATGTTGAATACTGCAGCTGAGCCCTGTGTGTGCGTATTTATAAACCAGCCTTAGTAATAATTGCATGCATCAGTAACAGTTTGGATTAAGTTTATTTTGATGTTTTGTTGTCTAATAAACTCGAGAGTGAAACTGCCTCCTTAAATATATTGGTCAACTACCAAAATGTTTTATACTTACCTGCTTGGTGTTATATGTGCGCTTTAACTGCAAAGATTTTCTTTTTGTTTCTAACTATCATGTATGTCATACATTGATATCTTCATTTGTAAATTTGTTTTTAAATGTTATTTAAGGTACCTCTAGATCATTAAAAAGCAAAACAAAAACATATGGCTTTTTTAAGCCTAATTATTTTTAGTACGTACTTTTTTATAAATAAGTATAAAATGTTCATCAGTAGGATAATTACCTTAGTTTTCTTTACTGATCACTTGCTGTCCATATTACCTCTTCAGCCTTGAAAATGTGATGAACTAACAGATTGCCCTTGAGAGTAATGACCCTCCCTCTTACCCCCCCTAAAGGCTGCATCATGATGATTACATATCAACTTATTTTACCACCAGCTTACAGATGCGGCTTTTTTGAAAATAATGCTATTCATAGGAACCTACTAACCTAAAATGTTTTTAACCACTTTATTTCTTAAATGTAGGGGGAAAAAACCCACATCGAGGTCACAGTACCCACCTCAAATGGTGACCAAACACAGGTTTGTGCCAGTAGGACACTTGTTCCTTTTCCCCTCCCTCCTCAATGTTTATTTCTCCCCAACTCCCCTCTCCTTAAAAAAATTAAATTAAATTAAGGTTCCAACTAACTTTAATGAGCCAATATTTTATCATTTTTCTTTCTTTTTTTTAATAATGGCAAAACAGAAGCTTGCAGAAAAAACTGAAGATCTGATAAGAATGAGGAAGGTTAGCCATTTTTCACTTTCACAAAACTGCATTAGCATCACCCATGCTGACTTTTACAGTGCATTAAAAAGACAGTGATCCATTCTTTTCATTGATTTCTCTTAATCAGAAATTACTTTCAAGTAAAGATAGATGTATATGTATGCATCTGTGCACACACATATGATACAAAAGACATTATAATCCTATACTATAATTGAAAAATTTCATTAAAATAAACTTTCCAGTAGAAAAATATCTTTTGAAACACAGTAAAATGATTAGTAAAGGCCAAACCTATCCTTTATTAAATTTTATAAGAAATATTTCACAGTGGCACCATATTCTTGAAATCGTTGGCAATATTGTATACATATTTATTATGGAAACCATCATAGCATTTCCCAGTACTGTTAATAACTGGGTTTGACTGCTCTGTGCCTTTTTCTTCCCAATTATAGAGTGAGATGAATCAGTTTCTGCTGAATATAATATTGAATGATCATATATAAAATACCCATAGATCTTTCTTATGAAAAGTATTAGAGATGTACATATTGCATTATGAGTATGTATGAAATATGTCAAAAAACTAAATAATGCTTTTTAAAATATATTTCTTTATTGATTTCAGAGAGGAAGGGAGAGGGAGAAAGAGATAGGAACATCAGTGATGAGAGAGAATCATTGATCAGCTGCCTCCTACATGCCTCCTATTGGGGGTCAAGCCCGCAACGCGGGTATGTGCCCTTGGCCGGAATGGAACCTGAGACCCGTAAGTCTGCAGGCCGAGGCTCTATCCACTGAGCCAAATCAGCTAGGGCTAAATAATGTTTTAAAGTATTTAGCTATTCCAGAGATACAGGAAGGAACATGGAGTTTTAATGCTTCTTAAAATCATGTGTTAAGATAACCCCTCAAACAGCTCAACTTAAAAAATGAACATAAAACATCTTATTATATAAGAAGCCAATGAAGCCAGGAGCACTGTCTGTTTAAATAACTTCATCACATTCTTCCATCGTTCATGGACAAGGTCATCCATTTCCCAGTGGTAATCGTGTTCTCTGTGTGTCCTTGTGGTTCTGTGACCATTTCATGTTGGCTTTGCTGCGCTGTGGACATTTAATTTTAAACAATTTTTGGTTTGCCAATTTGCAGTTTTTCCCCCGCAAGAACAGTATTTTAATTTTTTATGCTTTCTGTTTTTCCCCTCTTTCATTTTCACAGAAAAAGAGAGAGAGACTAGATGGTGAAAACATTTATATCAGACATAGCAATTTAATGTTGGAGGTTTGTATGAACTTGAAGCTTATTTCATTTGGTTGCCTGTAACTTCCTGCATTCTTTGCTGATGCCCCTTTCTTCTTTCTGTGCTGCGTTTGGTTTTGCATGCCATTGCATGGGAGAATTTTAGGTTTAAAATGCTTTTGCATGTTGGTAAACACAAAGATATGTAACCATCTCACCTGATTCTTTTTAGTTTCCATCTCTCATACTTATCTAAAAAATATATGATTGGGAATACCTTTGCCTCTTGTGGTTCCATTGTTTTACCCACTTTTAGAAAATTTTACATCTCTGTTAAAAAAAATTCATTGAATTTTCTAAGAGTATAAATATAAACTGCTACATGTTCCAAGCATCAATTTTTTTTATCTTCTGAACTGAGTGTGGAAAAGCAAGAGAAATGACCACAATTCAAAATGGACTTAAAATTTTGGAGATACCAGGAAATGGTGGAAGGACAGTCAGAGGGAAGGAAAAGACACAGAAAGGAGAGAAGGGAGCCTAGCATTTAATGAGTAGTTACTATGACCTAAGATGGTTTAATCATAAAAACAGGTATGTGGGTATGAGATTATTATTTTAAAGATGAGAAAATTGAAGCTTAGAGAAATTAACTAATTTCCATATGGTCATAGAACTGGTAAATTGGTAAAGCTAGAGTTTGAGGTAGGCCTGTCTAACTCTATTACACTACTTCCGCCCCCCCCCCTCACCCCCCCAACTAAGAAATAGCAACATACCGTCGATTATAGCAATTGTAAGGTCATTTTCCCATTACAATCAACATTGGTGAGAATTTTATCAGAGTTATGTTGCATACTTTATCTAGTTCTGGGCTCCATATTGGATAGGGATGCAAAGTTAATTAGAAGATTTGGAGAACTCTGAGGAAAAAATAAGGAAATGAATTATTCTGTATAGAGAACAAACTGAGGCTATGTTAGTTTACACATCAAAAAACTCATATAGAAGTTGATGACCAAATTATTTTACAATTCCACTCAAAACAGAGCCAAAAGAAACAACCACAAACTCTGATATCAGGGATTTAACTTAGTTAAAAAGGAAATATAAATATACAGGAAGATGATGAACATGGTTTCAGCCTTCAGAAGGCTTATGGTGTGAGGAAGTGGAGAGGAGAGTAACAATAAACAAGTGAACAAATAGTAATAAAATGGTTACAAGTTGTTATAAAAGCGATGAAGGAAATAAACCATAGGCTGTGCTAATAAAAGGGATCTACTGTGATAAGATGGATAGGAAAGTTCTCTCTCTGAAGAGACAACATTTTAGTTGAGACCTGAAAGATGAGCATATATTAAATGTGGTCAATACTATTAATCTGGAATATTAAAGAAACTTTTTAGGATAGATCACTGATTTAATGTAATGGTCTCTAATAATTACTTAAGCTCATCTTATTCTTTGTCAAAACATAAATTTTGAGTGCCTGCTATGTATATATAAGGTACTTTGATGAAAGTAACACAGGTTATGGCCAGCCTTCGTTAATCATGTACTATGTGGTGGGTACAATAGCAAGTGCTCTACGTACATTTACCTCATGTAGCATGAGGTTTTTCAAAGCTGGACCCTAGGATATTTCAAGCGTGGCAACTAGATCTCTTTGCTTTAGCCCATAACTAAAACTAGACTTGAATGGTTCCTCTTCTGAGATTAGGAAAAATAACTGATTTCAGTTGATCTCCTTGAACTCAGCAATATAACATCTCCTAATTCCAAACATGCCAGTTTCTTGGCCTCCTCTTAACTGGAACCTGCAGTACCAATCATATATTTGTCCTTTGTCTCATGAGGTGTGTTATGGCTTCTGAGACTCATAAAGTCCCTGTGTGTGGTGTGTTTTTCCCCAGCATTTCACTGACAGCCATGAGAGGGGATTTCTAATAAGTGTGTGCTTGAAAATTAAAACTACTAACTACCTTTTGAGAATATTTTATATTTAATGAAGTGTTTTGGTTTGATTGCTGCTAAAATTAAAATATGATAGGCATCAAAAAATGTCTAACCTGAAAACAGCCAAAGTAATTTGGCTAACCATCATTCTGTAGTTATTATAAAAGTTTGGGTGTGTTTTTTTTTTCCTGTTAGGAAATTCTCTCAAGTTATCTGTCACTCTAGCAGTTGGTTTTTGTTTTTTTTTTAAGCGTCCCTCCTCCCTCTACTCCTACCCTACCCCCACTAATGCTTTGTTCTGGCACAAATAAGGTCGGGTTAATTTTTAGATGTACCGCCTCCTCCTCCTCCATCTCCCAGAGGGAACCTGTAGCAAGTGTCTATGACAAATTCTATTTGGAACAGGTCCCTTTGAGCTCTTAATTTTACTCTGTGCCCCCACAGGTTTCCAACAGCCAGCTAAGAAGGATGGAGAAAGCTCCCTCAGAAACCATTGATGTTATTGAAACACTTATTTTCTCAGGTTCCAAGCCAGAGAAAAGCTAGGCAAGAAGAGTAACAAACTCTCGTGTTAAAAGGTTAACCTAGAGAGTCAGAGTTTTACCATAGCATCTCTTGCTCATTTATATTTTGCTCCATTCGTTCTTTTAACTCTCCCCCAAGTGTTAAGTTGTTCTTGGCCTGAGCAGATTTAATTTCCAGTCAGGTGCTGGGTCACAGGTCTTACATGCCTGGTGAGTTCAGATGCTCAGCCTACTACAGAGTCTTTGAGCTTGTTTATGCCTTTTCTCTAGCTAGTAAACATGCTTTTCTTGCTTTCAGATAGAACAAAAGTGCAAAGTGTTGTTTCCCCATGGTGAAGCCCATGTTCATGAGCTATACTTACACTTCATCCCAGAAAGCAAGAGGTACTCTTATGGGGGAGCTGCAGGATTGCCCTTTTGGGGTTAGTTTTCTCTTTGAATGACCGCAAATCAAATATACATGGTTCATTCTTTTTTTTTTTTTTAAATATATTTTTATTGATTTCAGAGAGGAAGGGAGAGGGAGAGATAGATAGAAACATCAATGATGAGAATCATTGATTGGCTGCCTGCTGCACGCCCCCTACTGGGGATTGAGCCCGCAACACAGGTATGTGCCCTTGACCGGAATCGAACCCGGGACCTTTCAGTTCATAGGCCGACGCTCTATCCACTGAGCCAAACCGGCTAGGGCTACATGGTTCATTCTTGCAAAAATAAAAAGCATGGACTACTAAATGAATTTTCTGAATGAATATCTCCAGAATCAAAGTTGTGTCATGTGCCTTACTGTTTCTTTTTTCCTATGCTATTTGTTATTTTCCCTTTGACACTGCTTTTGAAAAATATTTAATGTAGTTAAAGCCTAAATTGCTGCAGAAAAAACTTTTAAAACAAATTTTTATTTCAGTGAGTTCCAATTTTTTTCCAAATGAGGCTGTTCCCCACAAGAGTAAAAAAGAAAAAAAGAAGACAAATCCCAAAATTCACATTGCATATTAGGAGATATATTTAGTGTTATGCTTTTCTTGGATACAGAGCTGCCTTGATATATAACAAACACAGAATTTTTAGCAGTCATCAGGTGACAGGCTCCCACATATTTTGATCTCAAGTATAAATCTTTTGAGTTTTTTCAGAGAAGAATTTTGGCAAAGAACATTTGAGTTTTTGTCTTCAAGTTGTATTTCTCAGATTATTTCTGGCCAAATCTCCCTTTTGAAAGTTGTTATATACCTCCCGTTACTTAAACCTAAGTATTTCTCATTATTACAAGCTTTACCAATCTTAGTTTTGATCATTTCTCCCTAGAATATGCCCTTTAAGTGCCTACCCCTGGTTGTCCAGTATGCACATCTGCTGGAACAGTTGAGGTATTTTAAATCGTCAAGGAGGTATATAAATTATTTTATGAACTCTTGTTAAATCACTCCCAATTCATTGACGTTTAGTAGAAGAAGGCCCCTATTTTTTAATTGTACTAAGGGATAAAGTGAAGCTGTCAGAGGCTGGAAAGCATAAGCCTTTTAGTTTATATGAATAGTATTGGCAAAGGAAAAAAAAAGCCATTATATGACATACCCCTGACTAAATATTCAGAGATAGTAACAACCTGCTCTGGAAGCTTGAGCCTGAAATTTCAGTAACTTTTTTTTTTTTTGTAATCTTGGAGCCAATCACTTTCTCACAGAGAGTCTTTTTTTTTTTCTTCTTTTAATTATAGTTGACATACAATATTATATTAGTTTCAGGTGTATAACTTAGAGAATCAACATTTATGTACTAGTAATAAATTCTTATATCAAGAAAGGACTATTCCTGTTTACTAAAAACCAGCAACAGCCACTAAATAATAGGGAAGCAAAACTTTCTCTAGGTAGAAATAGAGGAATATTGTACAGTTGCAACTCACCAATGCAAGGCAGTCAGTGATAGAAACTGAATCTTTCACCGTGTCCTTCATTTAATAGTTTCTCCTTGTCTATTGCTATCTCCATCCTGCCTGAGCTGAGCCTAAATCAGTTTATATCAAGCTGAGGCTAACTGAGTATGAGATTACCTACCTTCTTGGGATGAGGAGTTGGAGATCTAGCGCTGTGTCATAATGGGAAGAGAGTTGTAAAATTGAGTGAGCTTCTAATGGGTTATATAACTGCTAAGCGCTATGGGGTTTTGATGCTTCACTGCTTCCAAGAAAAGCACCTTGTTGAAAAAAAAAAAAGGCAAGCAATTATACCATGTTGTATATTTACAATTTGAATACAATTTATGGGTTAGCTATATCTATCCCTGGATGTGGTGGTGTGTTTTCTACCAGTGCTCATAATCTGTGATGGGCTTCCCTTGGTACTTTTTTTTTCTCTGAGTATTTATTGTTTTGCATCTTTACCCTTCCAACTATAGGATTTAGACAAAAGTCAAGAAGAGATCAAAAAACATCATGCCAGCATCAGTGAACTGAAAAAGAACTTCATGGAATCCGTACCTGAACCACGGCCTAGTGAGTGGGATAAACGCTTATCCACTCACTCCCCGTTCCGAACACTTAACATCAATGGCCAAATCCCAACAGGAGAAGGAGTGAGTACTTTATTCACGTGACCAATTATCAGAATTAGTGAAATAAGTGTTTTTATATTCATATTCTGTATCTGAGAGAAAGTTTAGAGCTGAAATTTAGCTTTGGTGTCTCACCAGTTCATTGCAGCTTTAAGGCATTCGTAATCGAACACTGGTTTTTTTAAGTTATTTGGACCACCCAGTCTAATTAAGAGAGCCAGAGCTACCAGTAGATGATTAGGGTCTGAGAACTCTCTGTAGCTGCATGCTTCTGGCTAGTGTGTGTTTACAAATTGACCATAAGCCAACGGAACTTTATGGTCAAACTGTGCCTTCAAGGACCAGAGAGTACACTAAATTTAGTAAGGTCAAAATTAGAAAGGAATAAGCATTTTTAAAAAACTTATTTGAACATTTGAATAACTTATAAATGTCTGGAATGGTTGACCATAATTATATAATAAACCTAGGAGGCCCCTAAGCCTGCGAATGCAGAATACCAAATATTAAATTATTGTATTTCAATTTTAGAAAAACTGTTGATGATTTATTTTATTTTTATGAGAAATATCAAACTTTTAATACACTGCTTTATAACATAGTCACAATTAGAGAAACCAGAGATACTTTCCAGGGGCTATTCTTTTTCTGTTATTGTTGTCATTCCTATTGTAGAAATTCTACACCCAAATAAATGAATCTGTGTAATGAAAATGTCTAAAAGTTACCTTGAGCATATATTCAAAAATTCTTTACTTAATCTTTAGCCTGCCGGGCTAAATATTTATATAAATAGTTACAATGACTTTGCTGAGTGACTGTAATGATCTTTAAATTATATGCTTGTTCCCCCCCCGCCCAAAGCAATAGCAATTCTAGTTAAGAAAAGTAAAGTGATATCTTAATAATTTTTAAAAATTGCTTTTATATTCAGAATTTAGGATAAACTATCCAACTTATTTAGTTTCTGGAACTGGAGAAGATAGTAAAAGTTGGTTTACAAAGGGTACTTTCTTTATTTTTCAAAATGTGATTAAAATTGGCTAATGATTCTCTAAATGGAGTCAAACCAGTTTCACTGAGTAAGGGTGGAGAAATCCTGAACGATGAGCAGCTAAGTAGAGTTACCAGGGATGCAGGATGCAGTTGTCCCTGTTCATTGTCTTCGAGGCCTCCATGCCCTGATGGACATGGACGTAGTTTTGTATTCTAAATCTAGCGAATGTCCCCTGAACTGACTTTTTTTCTGGTGGACAAAATGCGTTTCTATCTTGCCTGGTAACTGCATATTTCCTAGAAGTTTTCTTTTTGGTTTTGTGCAAATAATAAAAGATGCTCACCTACTTTGGAAAAAGTAAAGAGTATTCTCTTGTATGAGGTTTGGTAAATTTGAATCAGTCTCCATTTCCAGAAAATGTCTTATATCTTAATAGAAACCCTTCAGAAACCATCTCAGGACTGGTTTGGGGAATGGCTGTGTCATTCTGTGGACTTTAAAGAAATGACTCTTTATAAATTAAATTACATCATTGGGGATAGTTGTGAAACTTTAGCTCTATGTTTGTGTATATTACCCCTCTAAATGAATAATGGAATAAATAAGAACTGTACTGTGGTAGCCTTTTGTATAGGATAACTCCACTTTCTGGCATATCTTACTTTTTCTTTAATAATTAGAACAATATTTCTGTTCTCTGGGGATACCTCTTCCACCTTTGACAGCATTGTTGTTGCATTGCAAAGCAACTGAATTTTTATAATTTGTGTATGACCAGGTGAAGAAAACTGTCCTTCCCTCGGAAAGAAAGGTTGGTGGGCCAGAGGTAAAGCTGCTGTTACTTGTGCTTCTCGATCACAATTTGCTCTTGCCATGGCACTAAGCAGATAATGCCCCAGAATTGAACAGCAGCGGCTAATTTATTTTTCTTTTGGCGATACTAGTAAATTCACACCCACCACCTTTTGACCTAACACATAACATTTCCACTGCTGCAGCTTTTGCAGCTTCCAAATTGCTTATGTTGGCGCATGGCTGGTTGAAAAGCTGCATGCAGATGTAAATATGTTTTCAGAGAGAAAATGAATTTAATTGTACCCTGTTCTTTTTATGTTGTCTTTCTTCTCCCTTTGTTTTCTGTTAAAAATCATTATTATAATTTTGCATCCTTTCTTTTCCTTTTTTTCTTTTTTGCTGACCAGTCCCCCAGCTACTTTCTCCCTGATACATATCACTTAGGGGTGTGCAAAGAGCCAGTGTCGACCTTCCAAACTGATCCGAGAAGGCTGGCTCACCTGCGAGAACTTAGAGCCAAGTTTTTCCTTTCATAGATAACAACATCTGTCTTGATTGGATGGCAGAGTACAGAAATTTGGGCGAGGGGCGGGGAGCAGGGGCTTGAGAAAAACTTAACAATTGGACAATTGTAAAAAAATAACTCTCCTTAAAAGTATCAAAAGTATTTGCCTAATGTGATCTATAAACCTTCATGGTGGTCATTATTATTTATTTTTAATCATAATTCCAAGAGAGAGGGGAAGGTAGTTTATAATTGTAAATTTGTGGGGTTTTGGTTTTTGGTGGGGTTTTTTGATAGACCTCGGAGGCACATATAAAATTTTATACATTTTTTTCTCTGCAATCTTTAAAATGTATAGGATTAAGGTTTTTATTCCCTTGAGCAAAAGCTAATTGCCGTATTGAATGAACTGTTCGTTTTTAAAATCTATATGAAGAAATATGAGGGTAACTTTATATTCTGCCATTCTATTTGTAATAAAGGTAACTTTTCTGATGGCAAGAAGAATGCTTCATTATTGGTTTTGCCCAATTGATCTAAGAAAAATTGACAGCACCAAAACAATGAAAAGTGACCCAAATTCTTATGTGAATATCCTCGAAGGAGGAATAAATGCTGTAAGGAAGTCCAGTGATTCCTTGATTTGTCAGGACTTCTAGTGTTCATTCAAAAAAGTTATCTTTGAGTATTGTGTTATAAAAACTTTGCTGGGATAAATTGTCAAAATAAAATAGAGTGTCCAAAAGATTTTCCCAAATCCTTTGCACATCCCCAAGTATCACTTTTAAGCATTTTCCATCTGTCATTTTGTTCATCTTTCTCTGTCTTTCTTGATCTTCTACCGTGAAAGCAGACACAGGAACGTGCTCTGTTAGTACAGGATGAAGAGAAAATTAAAAGGCAAGAGAGATCTACTGAAAGAGCTTTGCCCCAGCAAGAAAATGAAGAAGTTCTTCCCAAGGTTTCTATTCCAATCCCTGAGGATCACAAGTCTTTCAAAAAGTGCCACCTCTACTCTAATACTCTTCCATCTCCTCGTATTCCTTTCATGATGTCTTTTCTCGTGGTTCTTGCATTGGCTGTTTGGTGGTTGGTCTTTCTGTGATTGGAAAACAGGGTGCTCATCTGAAATGTCAAGACTAAAACTGTCGAACTTTTGGCTTCTACTGTATGATGCCCTCTGATCTTGATAGCTCACTGTCCTTGATAGCTCTTGTGATCATTTTTCTGTCAATAAAATGTTACTCTTTGTAGAATATGCATTATGGGGTACAAAGGAGTAGGAATGGATTGCCTAAGGCAGCTTTCTTCACTGAAGTGAACAAGTTTAGACTAATCAGATTTAAGCGTATGGCAGGTTGGTACTTTCTCCAAAAGCTTTTGCTCTTTTATCTTTTATGTTTTTATTATTGTTGCTGTGTCCTCCTCTCCAATGTTTCACACAAAGCAAGATACTCTGCAGAAACATTCAATGGAATATTTTCCTAATCTTCCATAGTCATTTGTGTGGCCCAGGCTCAGTAGTTTAAGAAAAAAATTCAACTTGCTAACCTTTCAAAAGCCTTAAAATGACACATTTTAATCTACGAATCCAAAACCACTCCTTTTCTTGATATATCAAACCAATATATACAAAGGCCCTTTTTTTGAAAAGGGCTTTTGACTTCTGTGGCCTTCCTAATGTGTATTTCTGAGAGGTACAGGGACAAACAACTTCATCCTGTCTGGTGTAGAGAAGAGTTCTGCAAAGGTTAAATGCCATCTTTTCATAAATAAAATGTTGATGGTTTAAGGAAAATGGTGCTGGTATCCCATAGCCTCCAGCCAGGACTGAATTTCCCAGACTATATCCATCTTTAGAAGTCCTGGAATACAGATTTATTCAAGATCTATACATAAACATACTCTTCTGAATTAAAACACTGTGTTTGTCTTTATGACTTAAGTAATTAGTTATATTGCTAGAAGCATAATTTAGCCATGTGGCAAGCTTAAAATATATATTGATATATTTTGTTTTCTTGGTACACTTTAAACACGTTTGTTCTTACATTTGTGTTGAAACCAATTGTTTTGAATTGATGACCTTGTGAGCTGAAAAATTCTTTCGTGACAAGTGTGTCCTATGTTTGCATGTTGATTTTTAAGTCTTTCCTGAAGTAAATATGAGTGTGCTCTCTCTTCACAACATAACTCGGATGTCTAACCTGTTACTTTCTACCTTTATTAATGAAGTCTTGCATGTAGCTTGCTTTTTATAGCACTTGGATGTACCAATGTGGGTGATTTGGTTAATGTCTCAAATATTTGTTTGTAAGTCTGAGTTCATAGGGTCATCAAAATGAGATTATTGCACTTTCTTTTACTCTTTAATTCTTTTCAGGTGGTGAAACTGCTAAACACGACTCTTTGTTTTAAGATGATGGCTTCTTAGAGCAAAAAAAAAAAACCAGTAAAACCAAGAATCTTTTGTCCTTAAGCATTCATCACTATTGTTTTATTGTCTCTATAGACATGCAGAAGTAATTCTCTGGTATTCCTGAAAACTGTTACTCTGTCATTATAGGCTTTCCAAAAACAAAACACACACACACACACCCACACACCAAAATAAAGGAAAAAGAAGCAAGGAGCATGTTAAGTTTAAAAATCCGGCATGAGTGTGTATCTTTCATGTCAGAGGCTATATCTGTTTCCAACAAATATTTTATAATTAAGCATATT